TTATGACATAAAGTATTATTTTACAACATTGCCTCTCCTTTCCCCCTTCTCTGGCCCCCAGATATGTCCTCCGAGGGGCTGTCCTTTTGACATAACTTCTTTCTCCTTAATCTAGAGAAAGTTCTTTACATTTTCAATATGTGAGGAGAATAAAATGGGTGTATCATTATCAGCCGTGGCAGGTCTACAGGCAAAATTAGGCACAGTATCCATGGTAATTGAAAGGAAACTTTTAAATAATAACTTTAAAAAAAATAGCCATTTAATGCAGTGATAGAAAAGTCAGCCTGTCAGTGAATTTAACACAGGATGATGTATTATTACGTAGGCTATAATTTAAAGCAGATTTGAAAAGCTGTATAGACTGGAGCTTTGGCAAATGATTTTTATGTCTTATTTGTAGAAATACGGGCACCACATGAGCTGATACTGGTTAAAATGTTTTGTATATTCTATTTACATTTGATTATTCTTGCCTAAAACTTAAGATTGACTTATTTTTTCTGATAATACATTTTTAGACCAACCAGTGTAAAGAGTATCTTTAAATGAAAGGGAACTTTCATTAATTGTATCCTCTCAAGTATACAATATATTATACTTCATAATTTAATATAAAGAAAGTGATTTTGAAAGTCTTATCTATCCCACACTTGGATTTATACTAGACTTATCTAATATTACATTCTTAAGAAAATGTTTTGCCCTGGCTGGTATGGCTCAGTGGATTGAGTGCTGCCCTGCAAACCAAAGGGTCACGGGTTCAATTCCCAGTCAGGGCACATGCCTGGGTTGCAGGCCAGGTCTCTGGTGGGGGGCACATGAGAGGCAACCACATATTGATGTTTCTCTCCCACTCCTTCTCCCTCCTTTCCCTCCCTCTAAAAAATAAATAAAAATATTTTAAAGAGGTAATAAAAATATCAAATATTTTTATTTGATATTATCAAAGTGTCTTGGGGGAAATGGTTCTCTTCTGTAGTCTTTGATGCCAAGGTATAGTTCGAGGAAAGTTATTTTTATCATCTCAGTGAACTATTAAGTCATACACAAATAAAATGCTTTCTCATTCTTAAAATTGCCCCCTGAATTTTTACTTTTGTACATAACCTCCCATGTAGTTTTCTGCTCTGTTGTCATGGTATTCATACATTGGGACCATACCCGTCTATCAGTTTAAGAGCATTGCTCAGAGGAGAAGCTTACTGCTTTGTTGAGAAGCTTTCATTGCCAAGCAGGTGAGGCCAGCTCTTTCATGTCATCCCCCCATCAGTAGTAGGTCTCAGCAAGGTCAGCTGTAGTGTCTCTGCTGCTAACACTACTGCCCGCTCCACAACCCCACAGGGTCAAGGGGAGAAATTCCCCAAAGGAATAAGAAAAAGTGTAAGTTGGGCTGGGGAGTAGAAAACTATAGCTACTTAAGTACTTTCCAACATGTGTGCTTTCCAACTTCACATATTTCTTCATAATTCTAATTACAAAGAAACTACTGTGTATGCCTTTTGCTTTCTCCTCTTTCATTCTCCACTGCCTGGCTTGTAAAAACATTTATTTTTCCCATACATTTTTTTTTTTTAATTTTAGAAGGCTTCTCAAGCACCAGAGATAGATTAAAAAAAAAACAAAAAACCTAAAACACCCAAGTAAGTTGAAGATGAACATGCTTTAAAGGAAGGTCACTCCACTCCGTTAGTATTTCAAGGCTGTGTTTGCTCCAGCATTTCTGGTAGCTCAGCTATTTATTACAGTAGTTTTTACTAAAAGGCAAAACTGAAGCTGCGGCTAGAATTAAGGCTACAGGATGCATGCTCACATTCCTAAGGTGGAGATCATTGGTACTACAGTGAAGATGTATTTCTTTAAAGTCAGATTATTAAATATTTGCATGCTTTTAAAAATATATTTTATTGATTATGTCATTACAGTCCTGTTTCCCCCCCTTTATTTCCCTCCACCCTGCACAGCCCTCCCCCGCCATTCTTCCCCTTTAGTTGATGACCACATGTCTCAAGTTCTTTAGATTCAATATTTCCCATACTATTCTTGCCCTCCCCCTATCTATTTTCTACCTACCATCTATGCTACTTATTTTCTGTACCTTCTCCCCTCTTCTCCTCCTCCCACTACCCTGTTGCTAACCCTTCATGTGATCTTCATTTCTATGGTTTTGCTCCTGATCTAGCTGTCCTTTTAGTTTGCATTTGTTTTAGGTGTGGTTCTTAATAACTGTAAGTTTGCTGTCCTTTCACTGTCGATCTTTTTTATCTTCTTTTTCTTAGATAAGTCCCTTTAACATTTCATATAATAAGGGCTTGGTGATGATGAACTCCTTGAATTTGATCTTATCTGAGAAGCACTTTATCTGTCCTTCCATTCTAAATGAAAGCTTTGCTGGATAGAGCAATCTTGGTTGTAGGTCTTCGGATTTCATAACTTGGAATACTTCTTTCCAGCCCCTTCTTGCCTGTAAGGTCTCTTTTGAGAAATCCGCTGACAGTCTGATGGGAACTCCTTTGTAGGTGACTGTCCCCTTATCTCTTGCTGCTTCTAGGATTCTCTCCTTCATTTGAATCTTGGCTAATGTAATGATGATGTGCCTTGGTGTGTTCCTCCTTGGGTCCAACTTCTTTGGGACTCTCTGAGCTTCCTGGATTTCCTGGAAGTCTATTTCCTTTGCCAGATTGGGGAAATTCTCCTTTATTATTTGTTCCAATAAGTGTTCCACTCGTGGGTGTTCCTCTTCCCCTTCTGGTACCCCTATGATTTGGATGTTGGAGCGTTTAAAGATGTCCTGGAGGTTCCTAGCCTCTCCTCATTTTTTTGAATTCTTGTTTCTTCATCCTTTTCTGTTTGGTCATTTTTTTCTTCTTTCTGGTCCACTCCTTTGATTTGAGTCCCAGTTTCCTTTCCATTACTATTGGTTTCCTGTGTATTTCCCTTCATTTCAATTAGTTTAGCTTCTATATGTTCCTCTAATTTGTGACTATAATCAACCAGTTCTGTGAGCATCCTGATGACCAGTGTTTTGAGCTGTGCATCTGAAAGTTTGGTTATTTCTTCATCGCTTAGATTTATGGGCTTTGGGGCTCTGAGTTGTTCCTGAGCCATGTTTTGATCTGTTTGTGCCTGTTATTTATGAGGAGGTGTTCACCAGGGCAGGGCTACCCAGGTTGCTGGTTTGTGATGCTGTATGTGGGGGCGGGTCAGAGAGGGACAATCGCGGTCCCCTCTGCCACTTTCCGCCACTGAGGCCTCCAAAGTCTATCTCACTGCTTTGCTCCTTCACCAGTTTATCTGCGCTCGACTGTGTGACTTTGGTCAGCCCTCAGTGAGTCCACCACCTTGTGCCCTCAGTGGGTCTGCCTGGTATTCCATACCTGGGATCCGCCTACAGCTGCTGGCGCACCTGGGTTGCACGCCCGGGTCGATCCGGTGGATCTTTCCTGCCCAACCCTGCTCTGCTGCTGGTCTGCCCCTCTTACTGGTTTGGCTGAAGGGTTTATTGTTGTCAGACTTCCATGTAGTTCAATTTCCTGTGGTTTGGCTGCATTTTTGTTGCTAAAACTTTGTTGTTTTTAATCTTGGTTTTGTGAGAAGGTGCAGTGCTTCCACCTATGCCTCCATCTTGGCGGAAGTCCTATTTGCATGCTTTTAACAGGTTCCTTTTTAATCTTTTGTAGTAATTTACTTGTAAGTACCCTCTAAGGAAAGTTTGTAATTTTTTTGTTCTCTAGATGTTTGAATTGAAGTATAGTTATTTACATAGGATCATCAGCAAATTATATGTGATGATAATGAAAAAGATGTTGAGGTTATCTTTTAGAGTATCATAAGGTCATTTTAATTATTAATATGCATTTGTTCATGGAATAATAACAACTATTAGTACTGTAACTGTTAGAAAAGTAAATAAGTAAAAGTAGGTAAATGGAGAGACAAAAGTGGAAGTTCAGGTTTGATTTTGAGTCTATTAGGTAGCATATGGCTCAAAACGTGAACATTTATTATATACAGAAGATACACACTAGGTGTTGGATGCATAGGAAATAATAGATGTGATTTGTGGCCTGCTTTAGTTATTTTCCACTGAGAAGTAAAATTGAGCATCACTATTGATAGAAAGTATGGAAATACACTTGGCAATAGGATATCTTGTTCTTTTGTCTGCTGCTGATTAACAGTGAAATGTAGTTATTATTGGAAAATGTATCAATGCTTTCACCTCAAACCCTCACACATGCTTTCCATCATTCTTTTTCTTACCTCCTAGTACTCATTTTTGATCTCCTTCTTTTTCTTTTCTACCCTCTTACTTACCTCATTCACTTGCATTTATAAAAATGAATCTACAGATTCAAAATCTTAATAAAAAGGTTCCTTCGACTGAGGTGTATGATACTCAGAAATATACATCCTATGGCAAACAGGAATCTGGGGTGACTTTTTCTTAGTGGTAGTTCTGCCACCGTCTCCTTATTTTACTCTGTCTTCTGTTGTTATCATTGCTGTAGGTGTTGTCATCCTCCTCCTCCTCATCATCATGTAAATCTTTGGGAAACTTCCTACCTATGTCACTGTCTAAAAATATGTTTTATATCATTTTCCTCAATTATTTTTTCCTTGAAAATCCTGCACAACTACAGTGCTATCTAAAATCTGGTTCTTTGTAGCTTGTGTCTTTTTTCTCCTGCATGTTAGTATTTCTTTGGTTTGCAGGGAATTTCTTTTGTATTTCTTGTTTCTACTCATGTCATTAGTTTCTGCCTCTTTTATTTTTCTCCAATTAAGACATGTATTGAGGGAACAGGAAACTAACATGCTACAGAGTTTATATGCATTTGGTTTTTTGTCATCTTCAATGTCAAGAAGCTTGCATTTTATTTGGTTGGAAGACATGATGGATGGGCATGAGCTATGGATCGGTACCTAAACATATGTATCACTGTGTATGCATATTACATATTTACTATTGCTGAAGGCTTCTTTCTTACTCTCTCCAGGAAAGGAAGGAGAGGATATCCAAATTTGAGTCTATTCGTCATTCAATTGCTGGAATGATTAGGTCTCCGAAATCTGCATTGGGCTCTTCAACAGTAAGTAGGATGATGAACTTTATGTGTTACTGAAAATAGTCATTATCTAGCTCTTTCTGATATTTTAATGAATATCATTTTAAATTTGTTCTTACAAATTGAAAAGTAAATATATGTTAACTTTTAGTATGTGTAGGAGTCTATGTATGTATGTATATAGTAAAACCCTATCTAACATTGATGTAGGGAGGAAAGAAATAAACTTGTATTATAGACTTCCTGTACTACAAATAAATATTACATTTTGTGTACTTTGATATTTATTAAAAGAATAATATATAGAAATCTATTTTTCAGTGAAACATTTTTATAATACAGATTATTGTACATGAATTCATACATGTATGATTTTATGTATGTGTTAACATTTTTCGAACATTATTATAAAGTTGAAGTCTGAAAGTTGGGTTTGGCATATTACAAAGGTGCATAGAATATTATTATCTTTAGTAATAGTAGTCATAGCCAAGCAAGACAAAAAAATATTCTTATCCCCTTTATATACTAAAAATCTGACATTTTTTTTTACTTCAGTGCCTATAAAACTTAATTATCAAACTTTTTATTTTAGCCATGACTTATTGATAATAGAGCTTTATAGTGATATCTTTTTAAAAAATATTTTATTTATTTATCTTTAGAGAGGAAGGGAAGGAGAGAAGGAGAGAAATATTGTTGTATGGTTGCCTCTCATGAGTCCCCTGCTGGGAACTGGCCTGCAACCTAGGCATGTGCCCTGACTGGGAATCGAACCACGATCGTGTGGTTCGCAGGCCCGTGCTCAATCCACTGAGCTACACCAGCCAGGGAACAGTGATATCTTATTGAACGCTGGTGAACACAAGAATATTGAGTATAACTAATTACATGATTTCCCCCTAACTCTCTAAGTTTCTACATGATGATATCTTAATATTGTATCTTACTTTTAAAAAGTTTTTCTGTTTAAGACAGAAAATGCGATCTGGTCTTACTTAGAAAAAGAAAGTGTTTCCTAACCACAGGTTAGTTAAATTTCCATTCATATTTTGGATTTATTTGCTATAATTCCTTTTCAGTATGTAAAATATGTTCCCTTAATGTATTTCATTTAAGGAACAATCTGTTATACACAAGTAAGGAAATTAGCAGGTATTTTCACACAAAAAATAAAATTATATTTTTATATAAAAGAGATTTTCTATTTCTATTTCAGCCTTTGATGTGTTGCCATTGTCACTTGCCATTTACAAAGTTCTGTGGGAATAGGGAGGGAGCTGTGAACTAGTGCAGACCATCTCCTGCGGCTTTAAGTAGCGAGTGAAAAGAAATAAGCAAAAGCAACACAATAGAGGAAGTCTCTTTCAAGGCCCATTTCCTACTCTTATTTTCTTAATTAATTAATTTACAGTTTTACAGATTAGTAGTAGTTCATAGGACTTGGCCTATTATGATTTAACACTCAAAATAACTGTAGGAGATTTAACAATTTATGATAAGTTCTAGAGAGTTTCTGAGGACAGTTTTCATAACTTTTATTTGAGTCAAAAATATTTGAGATGAAATATTTTTAAAGTTTTAGAAAAGAAAAACAAATATGGATTTTGGAAAGAAATGTTTCAATACATCAATTAGCTTTTCATAAAATTATTTAACATTGAAATAAAAATGGCATAGTTAAGTTGTCATTAACTGAGCTTTATTTTTACTTAGGTCAGAGGTCTTTAAGCCAGCAGCTAATAGCTGTTTATTGGTGATTTAATTTGTGAAAGGTGCCCCCCCCCTTCCCAATTTCCTTTTTGTGTCCTTTAAGATAAGCTTGACTTCAGTAAAATTTTTTAAATACTTTAAAACTAAGCCCCATTGTAAGTAAACTCAGAGTTTCCTTTAGCTTTAGGTGTTGTCATCCTCTTCCTCCTCATCATCATGTAAATCTTTGGGAAACTTCCTACCTATGTCACTGTCTAAAAATATGTAATGGGAGAGGAATGGAATTTAGAGCTTCAGAAGTTTAAAAAGTGATAAAAAAAATAAGAATTCTGTGATTGTGGAAATGGGCTAATACTCCCCATTTGTTTTCCCCACAACCTAGGATCCATAAGAACCTTGTGCCTTCAAGACAGGTGTCTAGGCATGCTCCAGTGGCTTCTGGGACTTCATGTTATATGTATTGCTTTGAAACTCATAGTTATGGGAACTTCAGCTTTTGTCCCTAAGCCAGGGTTGATCAGAGGATGAGATGAGAGAAATTTTGTCTTTTAAGACACACTGATTTACATCTCAAAATAGAGAAATCCAGTTCGCCTATTATGATGGAGTTATATAGGCTTGGCTATCCTAAGAGTGTATTGGGGATATTATGAACAATCTTAATGAATTGATGGTATAAGCCATAACTTTTAAAATATATAAAGAAATATATAAAGAAAAAAATGTTGCCCTGGCTGGTGTAGCTCAGTGGATTGAGTGTGAGCCTGCGAACCAGAGGATCATGGGTTTGATTCCCAGTCGGGGCACATGCCTGGGTTGCAAGCCGGTTCCCAGCAGGGGACGAACGAGAGGTAACCATACATTGATATTTCTCTCCCTCTCTCCTTCCCTTCCCCTCTAAAGATAAATAAATAAAATCTTTCTTAAAAAAGAAAAAATGTTATTTTCTCCATTTAAAAATGGACTCTACCTTTTTGTTTATTTATTTATTTTTAGGCCGGGGGTGGTGTGGGGGTGGGGTTAGAAGAAAGACAGGAAGAGAATTATCAATGTATGTTTGCCTCTCATTCATCTTCTGCTGGAGACCCAGCCTGCAACCCAGGCATGTGCCCTAACTGGGAATCAAACCCATGACTCAATCCACTGAGCTACACCAAGCCAGGGCTGGACTTTACCTTTCTTAAATAAAATTACTAAATTGACAGTCATTGATTTTGGTGTGCCTTTGGAGTTCACAAATTGCATTTTCCTGAAATGAATTGAAATGCCTTTCCTAGTAACATGTCCTTCATTCAGAAATACATTGTGATCTGTTTGTTAAAATAGTCAACATTCTTAAAGCTATGAAATGCCTATTGCTTCTGAGAAAATGTTCCCTCTGTAATTGAAAATTTTGAGAATGTTAATTTCCTCAAGTCTCAGTTTACTACATTTATATTTTCATGTTGTAGGCAATTATTATTTCCATTAGTTCAGTGCCCTTTGGTATTTTCTGACTTATTTAAAATCTCATGAACTAAAAAGATTGAGGCAGTGTGTGGTTTATAATACTGTGTTACACTATGAATAATTATACACAACTATTTCTCTAGGGCCATAGATATCCTTCTTATTTGGAAAAGGAGGTTTTTCCTCTTCAAATGCACAGGTAACCAAGGTCTAGAGACTTAATGTGAATGTGAAAGTTTCAAGTGTTAAAAATGATTGTCTGAGATGCATAACAGTTTAGGCACTGCTTAATCATAAATAAATTTTTTTCTGACATAATATAGTATTTCTTAGAGTATTCCAATTTGGTAAAAGTAGAATACAAGGGAAATTTTTAATTATTACTATAAATGTTTTTTTTCTCTATAAAAAGCTGTATAGCATGGCATGGTTAATCATATTTAAAATATTTTATAGTGATATACTTCACATGACATAAAATTCACCATTTCAAAGTACACACTTAGTGGTTCTTAGTTTACTCACTGTATTGTACAGCCATCATCACTACTTGCAGAACGTTTCAATGCCCCCAGTAAGATATTTCATACCCTTTAGCACTTAGTTTCAATCCCCCCCTTTCCCATTTTCTGGCACTCACTAATCTACTTTTGATCCCTATGGATTTGCCTATTCTGGACATTTCACATAAATAGAATTATGCAATATGTGACATTTTGTGTCTAGTTTCTTTCAGGTAGTGTAATGTTTTCAAGGTTAATCTTTGTTTATGACTAAATTATGTTCCATTGTATAGATTTATCACACATTGCTAATTCATTCATCAGCTGATGGATATTTAGGTTGTTTCCACTTTTTAGCTATTATGAATAATGCTGCAGTCAACACTTATGTGCACATATGTTTTAAATTCTCTCAATTATATGCCTAGGAACTGCTGGGTCATATGGTAACTCTCATATGTTGAGTTTTTGAGGAACTGCCAGACTGTGTTCCACAGTGACTGCATCATTTTACACTCTCACCAGCAACATGGTATGAGTGTTTCAGTGTCTCCACAATCTCACCTACACTTGTTTTCCTATTTTTTATTTAAAAAAAAGGGCATCCCGGTGTGTATGAAGTGGTATATTATTATAGTTTTTATTTGCTTCTTTCTGACAACTAATGATGTTAATTACCTTTTTAAATGCTTATTGGCTTTTATATGTTCTTTGGAGAAATTACTTTTCATTTCCTTTGCATATTTTAAAATTGGGTTGCTTTTTCATTGTTCAGTTATAAGAGTTCTTCATACCTTTTGGACACAAGCCCCTTCCAAATTCTTTTTCTCATTTTGTAGATTAACTTCTCAATTTCTTGATAGCGTTTTTTGACAAAAGTCTTAATTTTGACAAAGTTCAATTTATCAATTTTTCTTTGGCGGCACATGCTTTTGTTGTGTCTATAAAAACATTGTTCAATCCAAGGTCATGCAGATTTTTACCTTTGTTTCCTTTTGAGAATTTTATAGTTTTGGCCCTTACATTTGGGTCTTTGATCCATTATGGGTTACTTTTTGTATGGGGTGTGAGGCAGAGGCCCAAATTTATTCTTTTATGTGTGGAATCTTACTGAATATAAAGTATTAAAAAAGCAATAACTACGATACCACTATTTCTCTATTCAAATGAACATACAAAAATTTGAAGCGTAATTTTAGATAAAAACAAAGCAATGACTGGCATTATATCTAGGGATATGAAAGTAGAATTCATCATAATGATATTCCCATTGGACTTGCCATCACTATTTATTTTGGCATTTTAAACAGTGATGCTAAAATGTAGAGCTACCTTTGAAGACAGTGTAACAGATCACTT